ATTGTCTATTTTCTCCCCTTCAATTTGAGGAGGTTTACCTTCAAGAAATTGAATATTTTGTTTGATAGTGATTTTATTATTGTACCAAGTTTTATAACCTTTACTTTCATTGTCTAATCCTATCCAACAAGTAATGATACCTTACTGTTGTATTTTTGTAGGATTTTCATTACAAATGATAATATATTGACCAAATTTGTATATATTATTAATTGTTCTGTGGGTTCTGTAATGTTTGTAATGTAGAGTATTGTAATTTAATGTAGCACACAGTGTTCTATTATGAATATAAGTAATGTGAATTGCTGCTTCAGCCTATAATGTAAACAGTAATTTAGTAGATGTTAGATATGCTCTTACACCTCTAAATATAGTTTTATGAGTTTGTTCCACTATTCTGTTCTGTTACAGAGTATGATGTACTGTTAATCTTTGTTTTGTTCCTTGTGAATCTAAATATTGTTGGAAATCTTTACTAAGGAATACAGTATTGTTATCACTTTGTAAAAGCTTTATTTTAACTCTGTACTGTGTAAATATTTTGGTTGTCCATCATACATATTACATATATGTGTTGGATTTTGTTTGTAATTTGAGCATTATGCACCAACAAGTAGAATTGTTTACAATTGTTAATAAGTAGTGTGTGTTCTTATATGTGTGTGGTTCAATAGGACTAATGATATTGATATGAATAAGATCTCCAAATTGATTTGTAAGAGGAGATTGACATAGTTTTGGTATTGGTGTATGTTTGATATTTGCTTTTATACATTCAATACATTCTTTTTCTTCATAGTTTGTTATTTTAGTTGATAGTACACTTAGTTGTGTCTTTAATAATTGTTTAATATAATTGTAACTTATATGTCTAAGGTGTTTATGTATATCATAAATAGATAGTTCGTTCATGGTTTTTAACAAATGATTATTGTACAAAATATACAAGTTATTTCTCAATTGTATATGTCTGACATATTTGTTACATAGTAATGTTATAGTACAATTATTATTTGTAAACATAAAAGAATAACCTTCCCTACATAGTAGTGCTTGACTTATGAGGGAAAAGCTCATTTGTGGATAGTAATAAATGTTTTGTAATGTTATGATGCTTCTTTCTCATATATTCTTTGGGATTTCAATATGTATAGATTCAGCTTGATTAAGAGTCATTGTTAATCTATTTGCAATAGTTACAATTGTAGGGGTTATGTTGTGTACATCTGTTAATTGAAATAGATAAGGAGTAGCATGTATTAATACACTAGAATTGAGTAAATCCATTGTTTACATATAGGATTTCTTGTTAGCTATGATTGTATTTGTAAATATGTTAGTACATACCTAGGAAGTGTATTGTTCAAATTGTTTGTCCTGGTTGCTTGGAATAAGAGTGTAGGCATTATTGTTCATTTCAACATTACTTTCCTTTAATTCAACATTGTTTTTGTTTGGGT